AAAGGTTTGTTAACAAGATGTTCTGCAGGCACTGAAAGGGTCAGGAATACAAGTCCTTTTAGGCACGCTCAACGCAGATGTCCCAACACTAGCCAATGATCCAGCGTTTGCTAACGTTTGGCTCCAAACCAACGTCATTCCCTTCGCTTCATCCGTGAATCTTTGATGTATTTCCGTTGGAAATGAAATGGTTCCAAGTGAGAATGCTACCATCGTAGTCCCTGCCATGCGAAACCTCAGAGCATCTCCAATGGGAGTCCCTGCTTGGGGACTTCCACCACCACCTTTGAGGACTCATTTCTGAGTTTTAAAGGAATATTCGAGTCCCTAAGAGAATATTGTCTACAATGAAAATTCCTTATAGTATAATCATTAAATATAGAGACTAAAATATTAAAAAAATTATTATTCATTTCATTGAAATATTTGTAACCATTGATAAAAATAAAAAACTATCTCTACCTTTGATTTTTCAAGAATTAAAAAACAAAAGGCAAATGAGAAGTTGTCCCACTTGGGTGGGTTCAAAAATACAAGGAAAAGAAACATAAAAAGCAGCACCATTACCACTCAAAATTAATGTAGAGTCCACTATTTGAGTCCTTATATGTAGTCCTTATATTTGAGAATTCTTTTGAGGTATCCGGCGAGTCCCTATGTATTAAGATACTTTGAGAACTTCAATTCCGGCCCATTGGAAGCCATTTGTCCTTATACTTAGGGACTATATGATTGTAGGAACTCCATTTAAGGCCTCCGTAGGAAATGCTCTGAGAAATGCCCTAATTGCAGCCGGCCAACCCGGATATTCCTCTATCCACTGCATTGTTCCAAAATGTACTGGCATCACCATATATATCCGGCTTCTGCCAGAGTATGGCATCCTGATGCAGCCTCAATAATGGTTCCTCTAGCATTTGCAAACCCCACCCACCCCTCCCCCTCTTTCTCTTCAACGAATATTCATATTTCCTACCAATCACCCGCAAGACATCAGGTTAGACTATGCATTGATGAATGCCAGAGGTTATATGTTGTACAAGATGGAGCATTAGGGCACACGAGAAAGTAGGGGCACAAAATGTTGAGGTTGTCGTTGGTGAAACAGGTTGGCCTTCACAAGGAGAAGGAGAAGAGCCTGCAAATATTGAGAATGCTGAAGACATATATTAGCAATCTGATAAAGCATAGACAAGTTGGGACACCAAAGAGACCAGGAAAGGGATTGGAGGCTTCCATTTTTGCTTTCTCCAAGGAGGATCTCAAGCCCAAGGGAAGTGATCAACATTGGGGATTGTTTAATCCTGATATGACTGAGGTTTACCATGTTTACTTTTTATTTTGATTTTTCATCTGAGGTTACTCCATTAGCAAAAACATAATTACATAATTAGGGGTCCAAATACAATATCCACACAAACAAAACATAGCTTTGGCCGCAGCATAAAAAACTTTCTTCCAGCTCTTCCGCCGATATCGCCGAAGCGGCAACCCCGACGATCTCGAACCGCCACCACCAACTTTTACCAGGAACCAACACCTCAGAGGATCTGCAGGGATCGAGAGATTGGTGATAGTTAGGGGTGAAAAGGCTACGGAAAAAACAGGAAGAAAAGCAGGGGAAAAGAACAAAAAAAGAAAAGAATAAGGACGTAGAGGGAAAGGCCATCGACCCTAATCGGAATTAGGGTCGGCAACAAAAGGAAAACTCTAGGCTTTGTTACTGCTCTTACTCACGGAGAGAATAACTCTCATTCTCTCTCAGAGATGGGCTCTCACTCACGTCGAGAAAATTTCTGCGAACCCCACTCTTTTCAGTTTTTTTGACTTTTTATTTAGGGATGTAATATTTGTTGGTAGTGTATCATTTAGGAAGAAGAATTGTTACTTTGCTAATGGAAAATTTATATAATTTAATGGGAGAGTTTGGATGCAGTCCCTGATTGTTAATTTAATGTTCTTTGATCGAAATCTTGATTTTTATTTTTTAATCGAAATCTTTGACATTAATGTAATCCTTAACATTAATATAATAATATTTTCTGTGTAGGTTTTATACTTTTAAATTAAAAATTGAAATTTATAGTTATTTATATTAATGAGATTTAAATAAAACCTATAGTTTGTGAGATTAAAAATATTAAAGGATGAATTTTACTCTCCAGTATATTGTGTGTATATAAACATGAATACATTCATCAAAATTAACAAAAATATTATTGTACCAAAACATGGTTACACTTTCCAAAACCACAAAAAAAAAAAATTGCCCTAATACCATTATTAAGTTTCTTCGTTTAAACTTGACATGGATATATTTTCAAATCAAAGAAAAAGAATGTACCTATATAATTTAAAAAATAGATTAGAAAATTTTGAACTAATTTATATAAAAAATAGGTACATTTAATATTTAAAAAAAAAGGTACATTTTACATATAACAAATTTGTATATTTAAGAATGGGTACATTTATGATTATAAAAAATTGAAAAATGCTATGAAAGGGTACATTTAAAAATTAAAAAATTGAAATTTTTTTACACAAAAAAATAATGTGTACAAACTTATTCTAATTTTTTTTTTTTTTTGCAATTTTTGAATTGAAAATAAATTAGGAGTTTAATAAGGATTGAGTTTTAAAGCTCTAAATCAATTACTATTTTTTATTTTAAAATTATGTAACTAACATGTAAAATCATTAATACATTAATGTTAGAGAATTCGATCAAAATTTAAAAACTTATAAGATCTCAACCAATGAACATTAGTAATTAGAAGCCATATACTAATTTTTCCTAATTTAATTGTTATTAGCTCCAAGTTAATTATGAAATCATATATTGTTTGTTAACTAGAAAATGGCCGTAGTACAAAATCTTGCAAATAAGAATTTTATGTTACTAGATTTCTAATGGGGTTGCCATCGTCATACTAAATACGCATTTTCTATTAATAGTGCAATAGTATAAAATGAGATTTCTCCCGACATTATTCAAGACGTCTTCTTTCATGATCTCATTTGTATTTGAAATTCAAGTTGAATGTCATCGCTTTTGCATCACAAAAAAAGGCCGAAGTACAAAGTCTTGGTGTCAAATTGGAGCAATTCTCGTGTCCACCTCCTGGACCACATCATTAATACATTCACACATCAATGTAGGCGTACTTTGTATACTAAGTTATCAGTTTAATTATTTACTTCTAATCATGAATAAAATAGTAGTTACGTATTAATTAAACTTACCGACGATCTATTTCCATTTTAAAAATAACTACTTCCTACTTTATGCGCAGACTTCAATCTAATTTTTCATTTTTCTTTGAGGAAAAACATTTTTCTTTTTCCTCCTAACATTTTTCTTTTTACTTTACAGGTATGCCTAATCACATTATATCTTGCTTTAAGTGTCCTCATAAACTAACTAGTCAATTGAATAAAGACTATAGACAGTTTTTCTAGGGTAATGCCAATAAATGTAATCCAGTGAGTTGGAAAAATGTTTGTAGACCTAAACAAGCTGGAGGTTTAGGTATCAAAAACATTGAAAATTTCAATAGGGCTTGTCTTGCTAAGCTGGGATGGAAAGTTTTGTTTGATAAGGATAACTGGTGGGCTAATATAGTTAGAAGGAAATATCTTAGAATTGATTCCTTTATGGAGTCTAGAGCAAAGCAAAACCACTCAGCTGCTTGGAAAGGCATTCTAGGATCCAAGGATATTCTAAGGGTATGAGGTGGGTGGTCGGTGATGGCAAGGAAATTTTGTTCTAGACCCACAACTAGGTTTTTCCTTACCCCCTCTTTCACCTCATACCAGAAAACCAAACTCATCATATCCAGTGGGATAGCAAGGTTGCTGAGTTTATTGTTGACGGTTAGTGGGATAGAAACAAACTAACTCATGTAATGGATAGTGACATTGTTAACAAAATCTATGACATCCATCTCCCTCTCGTTGGCTCCATGGACACTGTAGTTTGGGGCCCAAGTAACAATGGCAAATTCTCGGTTAAATCTGCAACTTGGCTTCAAATGGAGGACTTGGGTTCCTCTTCATCACAAAAGCTTTTGAATAAGATTTGGAAGCAAGTAGTACCGCCAAAAATTAAGTTGTTTGCCTAGAGTCTTGTTAAGGGTAAATTACAAACTAGAAAGAGACTTAGCAAGTTTGTAACAAACTTAAATAACCAATGTCCGTTGTGTAACAACCATGAGGAGGATCATGATCACCTTTTTCTCCATTGTTCGTATGCTAAACAGGTTTGGAACTGCTCAAATGATAATTTATTTTCAAATATGGACAATAACCTCAAGGTGAGTGAATGGTTGGGTGGCTTGCCACACCGCGATAGGAATATAGTGAGTAGTTTAAGCAAAGCTTTAGTAATTTGTTGGCAAATTTGGAATGATAGAAATGCAAGTATTTTCAAGAATAAGAAACCCTTTCATTACAGATCTTTTACTCGAGCCATGACTATGGTTAATGATTATTTCAAGGATAATTCAGGTCACTTAGAGGAAGCAAGAGCAATTGCAAAAGAAAACTTGATTAAGTGGCAATGCCCAACGTCCCCTTATGTTAAAATTAACTTTGATGGCTCATTTTCAAACTTTGTGGCTGTCGGAGGTTTTGTTGTTAGAAATTGGGATAGCAAACCTATCCTCACGGGAGCTTTGAACCCGGGCTTTATGACCATCAATGTTGCCGAGGCTCTTACTTTACGGGAAGCGTTGATCTGGGCTAGGAGGAGGAACTTGAAATACGTGGTTGTGGAGAATGATTCCAAGTTTGTCATTGATGCGGTTCGTGGCGCTTGTGATGTGCCTTAGAACCTAAGATCCATCATTGAAGACATCATGTGGTAGGCTACAAATTTCCATGATATTAAGTGGAGGCATATCTTTAGGGAATCAAATTTTGTTACGGATGCAATTGCATCTGTTGGGCTTAAGAGAAAGGATCTGTGTATTCGGGATGCTTGTCTCCCAATGGAAGCTAATATGGCCCTTCTTTTCGATTGTAATGGCACTGGCTGTGTTCTTCTCTTTAATATATTCATTTTTCTAACCAAAAAAAAAAACATTATTTATAAGTTGTGACGAGAAAAATTGGAGGCAAAAATAAGATTTCATTCAATTTTTCACTCCAAGTCCAACACTGCACAAAGGACGGGTCTTTTTTCACGATCTTTTTCCCTCTCTAGGGTTTTGAAACGGGTCTCTTCGTCTTCCCCAATTTTACGACCCCCAATTCCAAAACGGCCCACAAAACCCACAACAATGGCGTTCTCGTCATTATTCTCCACGGCGCAGCCCCAACAGCAGCAGCAGCAATCGCTGTTTCAAACTCAACAGGCCTCGCAGCCTTTTCAGCAAAGCAGCTCCTTTTTCTCCCAACAACCACTGCAGCAGCAGCCGCCGCTGTTCCCACAGCCGCAATTTCAGCAGCAGCAACAACAGCAGCAGCCACTGTTTCAACAGCCTCAATTTCAGCAGCAGCAGCAATTGTACTTGTTTACGAACGAGAAGACTCCGGCGAGTTATGGTACCAAGTGGGCGGATCTCCATCCGGATTCCCAGAAAGTTCTTCTGCAAATTGAGTACGTTTTCGGAATTTCTGTGAAGAAATTTTTAGCCTTTTTCTTGATTCGCCATTGTGATTTTTTAGGGGTGTTTGGCTTGATTGGTTGCTGAGAAAATGCAGGGAAAGAAAGTGAAATTTTGAGTTTGTTGTGTCAAGTAGTATTAAGAAAAATTGCTGCATTAGATTCCAAAAAGCGAATTATTTTTTTCACTATATTTGTTGGGTTTTAATTAAGTTCAAAACTTGGGTCTAGTTTGTATTGAGTTCCATAAGATTAGTGTATAGTTCACAACTTGAGTTTTCTTTCTTACTTTTATAATTATCAGCTGAGATAACTATTTGTTGCTTGCAGGGAACGGATACTGGGATACAGGGATGAAAGCCTGCGGCTGGATCAGTGTAGTCGCCTCTACGATTCATCAGTTTCGAATGATGCTTTTGAGCATGACGCAAGTCGTATTCTCCAGGTTTGTTTCTTGAACTGATCAAATTTTCTAATAGCGATTACTGTTTGTTTTTTCTCTGGTTGCAATCTTGTTATTGTGAGTTGTTCATTGCAAGCAAACTGCCTTAGTTTTAGTGGATTTAGTACTCTTGTTTATATACGACAACATATACTGCGGGGCTCAAATTAAGATTGATTTGTGATTTCTGCAAGAACATTTAGAGTCCTGGTAATGACAACAGCTGCTATCAAAATTCGCCTGTACAGGATTTTCAAATTCTTATGTTATCTTTACAGGAACTTGGGGGTATTGGTACTTCCATGGACCGAGAGAAAGCTGTTCTGCACGAGCTGATGGCTATTGTGAAAGATATGTTGCGGAACAGCGAGGTTGCTGTTCGTTCTTTCATGATTCTACGCCCAAGGTTTCTTCATCCAAATGCAGGAGGTACTTCAAATGCTACTGCCCCATCACAAGCTCCTGGAGCAACAGTACCACCAGGTTCAAGTAGTCAACCAACAACTACTTCTATAGTGCCAGTTTTTGATTTTTACAACGGGATTCCAAGGAAACCATCCCCCTTCCTACAGCAAACAATTGCAAGATTTGAGAAGTATCTTGTTGAGTGTAGCCAGTGGATTGAAGAATTAGAGCAGCTGCTTCTGGACTCAGAGAGGAACTCTGCCAATGATAGATCCTCATTGTTGCAGTCTCTTCCAAATGTTATGAAAAATGTGCATGATTTTTTTGTTCACGTGGCAGCTAAGGTGAACAAAATGAATGATATTTTGTTTAGTTAACGTTATTCATACAGTTATGCAGTAAAATGTACTTCATCATGGATTTTGTCAGCTAAAACCTGCAAGTATGATTACTAATCAATGATATGATATGTTTTTTAGGTGGAGAGTATTCATCAATACGTTGTGTCCATGAAAACAGCTTATCTTGTTAACCAGCGCCGCCAAGGGGATGGGAATGATCCATTTCTCGAGGCTGATCGGCGGGAAACTGCTAGGCAAGAAGCTGCTGCTAAGAGGGCGCATCCAACTTTGCATTTATCTGCAACTTCGCAACCATCAACCCAAGTTGCTGGGTTGTTTGCCAGTTCAGGAACTCCTGGGACATCGACTGCCCCACAGACATCTGCGGCTACCATTACAGCTTCATCTGGGAGTGGACTTTTCAGTACCCCTTCTGCTCCATCTGCTTCCACGTCTTCCTCTCTGTTTGCTACACCACCCACTTCGGGTCCTACATCTTCTCTTTTTTCAACACCGTCTGCTACACCCCAGGCATCACTGTTTAGTTCTTCATCAGCGTTTGGACCTGCTTCAACTCCCTCTCTGTTTTCCAATCCTACTCCAGGCTTCAGTTCTACTACTCCTATTGGAAGTTCATTATTTACTTCAGGTTTCTTCTGATTCTTCTTAAACCTACTTCAGGACTTCTACATTTAATGAAAAAAAATTATTATTCCTTATAATTTTCTAATTTGAGAACAGAAAGATGGTTTTGAGGCATTGAATGCGTTAAAGGGAAATCTCTCTTTATGATAGTGTATGCTAGAACGAATGCATGCAGAAGTCTTTTGGTATAAAAATTTATGATTTTACATTGTTCCCAAGATTGTCATGGTTCTATTTTTGTGTGCGGAGGTGAAAACTTACCAAGGAGCATTTTGTATGGGATTAGTAGTTGAAATTGCATTATGTATAAGCAGTGTCCAAGACAGCATGCATCTCCTTGGTTTGTTATTGTAAATTTATTAGTGGCCACCATATAGTTCTCAACTGTGCACACTGTTTTGAGCTATACAGTTTGGGAGATTCAGTTGTTTGCCCAGTAGTTTATATAGACTGAGGAATTCTTCTGATTGGTACCTATACTTTATTTGGACTTGTTCTCATTCACATGACATAGACGTAGGTGAGTTGTTTTTAAATATCATTTACAATATAAGCATGAAAACTTTGATATAATTCACCATACACAATTATACAATTTTGTTTACCATAAAAGATTCTACAATTATACAATTTTGCTTACCATTAAAGATTCTACAGTGTTGTAAATATGTAAAATTGTACATCTTGTATCTTGACGTAACTCAGTTAACTCTGCTGGTAATAGTTGTTGGCACATTTGTGAATCTTTTGTCCTAATTTAGGCTTGATTGACCAATGTTTTAATCACTTTACAGGTAGTGCTGGATCAGGGCTGAATTCTAGCTTTACTTCAACGGTGAGTGAATTTTCTTTCAGCTCTCTCAGTTCAGACACATTGCACTTGATGTAACTCAAAATTTGCTCCCTAAACAAACATGAGCTTCGAAGTTATGAAGCTAATGCTTGCTAATTAAGTTTTTAGTTATTATGTTCATGTACAACAATAGCTCTATACTGCAGATGGAATTAATTTTCCATCTCTAGTAATATAGTTTACTTGATGCTGCCGCATACATCTGCTGAATATCTTTCTTCTCCGTATTCTAACTATTGCAGAAATCAGCACGGCCGAGAAGTCGGACTGGTGGCCGCCGTTAGCCACAGCTGTTTCAGGGTCATGAAATCTGGAGGAAAGCAGCCAATTATTTGTATTTTAAGTGTCGACAATTGTTCTCTTTGCGCAATGCGCGACTTGCATGCGGCTTCTTTTGCTGTGGAGTTCATGGATGTCGATAATTTTCACTGAATCCACGTCCTAAGAGAATCAAAATTTCGTTTGAAATACTGCTCCGGCATGTCATCTGCATACTCGGCTCCTTGCTGCAATTGTCTTCTCCTGTTGGAAGCTGACAGGCCCTCGCTGTTTTGTGATGTTGCAACGTGAGGTTAGAACATCTGTCCGGCTCACTGTAAAATTTAGGGTAGAATATTGTTTCCGTTTTTTCGTAAATGTGTTGACAAGAAAATTGCAGAGTCAAATCCTTCGTTATTGCGAGAGACATTGTTTACTTGTGGTGTCAAATGAACACACTCGATTGCCCGAACTCATGAGTGATCAAGTTGATATGACCCCCATTGTTCGACAATTTTTACCATTATGTATTTGTATCTTGTATTGTCCATGATTTTGTTGGGATAACAATTCTTCTCGTGAGGATCGTGTAAGCAGCGTGCTTGAGGAATGAGAAAATATACGCACACAGCGGTTTTTTAATCTAGGGGTAGAGTCGTGTGCTCCAGCCTCTGCACTTAAGTTCGTATCTCTTTTTCGTGAAAATTTAGTGTAGTTATTCTATTGTTTGTCATAAAGAACTTTAATGTGAAATCGTTAATAATATTAATAAAAAGTTACAATATTAATAATATATCATTAATATTATGTTAATTATAAATAAGTTAATTATGTATTGTGATACTTAAATATATTTAAGATAAACAAAAATTACAAAATTTGCCATTACAGCTGGCATCCACTTAAAATGACACTCTTTTTTCATATTTTTTATATTTTAGAATAAGTTAATACGGATTTAGACATTGCAATGCTATGTCTCTTTTATGCTTTTGGTTTTATTGGATTTAGACGTTGTGTTGCAGTGTCCATTTTCTAGTTCTATTTTTTTTCATCACTTACACGCCTCTTGTACTTAACACCTCGTGCGGCTCCTAACTTTTGCATTTGAATTCAAACATTGCAACACGCTGTTCGTTTACTGTTTCTGTTTTTTATATTTGGATTCAAACATTATAATGCAGTGCTTGTTTTCTTGTTCTGTTTTTTAATGTTGATTCAGACATTGCAATGCAATTTCTAGTTCAATTTTTTAAAATTATTTATTTATTTTTTTAATTCAGCCACCGCGTTGAATACTAATGGTGTTGTAGTTTTGGCATTTGGTTGTCATCTGATGGAGAAAATGACATCTTAGCAAGTTTGAAGACTAGAATAATGATATTTCTTTAATTATATGGATGCCCATAACCAAATCTGACCCGAATCGTATAATCAAACAAGAACATAAAACTAAAGCCGCTGTCCCCTACATTATGATACCAATCCAACCCATATAGTTGAATTTCTGTGCGTTGAACATGCACCTTTTTAAGAATAAATCAAATCTGTAAATTACGATTATTTAGACCAAATACTTGGTATACATCATGATGAAGCGATAATTATTTCGGAAATTATGAAAAAAAGAATAGTTAATGAGTAAATTATCGTCTGGGTCTTTCATTTTAAAGTTTTGAAATTAACATTTGCCGAAATAAGAAAAAAGATGGTATTCCACACTTTTTTTTTTTTTCTTGTTTTGATAAATGTTGGCTTCGGTACTTTAAAGTGAAAAAGCCAACTAACATAGATCACGTGAATTTTGATAACACATTGGACACTTAGCAATTGTAGAAATTAAATTAATTAATGATATATGTATATATATAATGACAACCCGTCCCTAATTTTACGATTTTATAAATTTAAAAAGTGTGAATTGACTAAAATGCTCCTTTAGGCGAATTGCTGACTTTCGTTGACCGCCTTTTCTTGACATGTACGAGTTACTATTTTATCGTATTCTCGAAGTACTCGATGGTACGAACGCGTAAGCGTAAGCGGAATTAAAACCAGAGTTATGATTAAATTTTTGCGGACTTACGATGTTCAAGGGCATTTTGGTAAATCAATAATTCTAGATAAATACCCTTTATTATTTTAATAATTTTTGTAGGATTTTTTGCATGGTGGGACCCACCCATGTGTGTAACATCCCACATCGCCTAGGGGAGTGGATCTTGTAAGCCTTATATGTATATTCTCATCTCTACCTAGCAAGAGGCCTTTTGGGAGCTCATTGGCTTCGGGTTCCATCAGAACTTCGAAGTTAAGCAAGTTCGGGCTGCAGCAATCCCAAGATGGGTGACCCACTGGGAAGTTCTCGTGTGAGTTCCCAGAAACAAAATCGTGAGGGCGTGGTCGGGGCCTAAAGCGGACAATATCGTGCTACGGTGGAGTCGAGTCCAAGATGTGGTAGGGGCCTTGGCCGAGATGTGACAATTTGGTATCAGAGTCAACCCCTGATCGAAAGTGTGTCGACGAGGACGTCGGGCCCCTAAGGGGGGTGGATTGTAACATCCCACATTGCTCAGGGAAGTGGATCCTGTAAGCCTTATATGTATATTCCCATCTCTACCTAGCACGAGGCCTTTTGGAAGCTCACTGGCTTCGGGTTCCATCAGAACTCCGAAGTTAAGCGAGTTCAGGCGAAAGCATTCCCAGGATGGGTGACCCATTGGAAAGTTCTTGTGTGAGTTCCCATAAACAAAACTGTGAGGGCGTGGTTGGGGCCCAAAGCGGACAATATCGTGCTACGGTGGAGTTGAGCCCGGGATATGGTAGAGGCCCGGGCCGAGATATAATAATGTGAGTCTCCTATCCCTCTTGTCCTCGTGTCCTTCATTCCCGTTATCCCAGTTATCTCTCTCATATTTTTTTTTCAATCTTTCTCTCTCACTAAGACTCTCTTCCTTTCTCTCTCGTATTTCATTCCCCCTTTTTCCCTAATTTCTTTGTTTTTGCAAAGACCAACAAAACACAACCACTCGCCACTCCAGCGAGATCCCTATCACGAAACTAACATCGACGATAGCCACAAGTTGTTCCCCATCTTAAACTATCTAAAACTCTCTCATCTAAAACTCTCTTTGCACTCCCCGTGCACAGTAACACCTAACCACCACCACACGACTACTTTGGCAAGTTAGACCATCAGACCACCACCACACCTTGTCCTTCCTTATCTCGGTTAAGCTTAAACCCTGAACATCCAACCCAAGCGTGGAGCTTGCACTGCACAGTGGCCATTGCCACTGTTCATCATCTTCTCCGATGAGTTCTTGTCGATTCCGACCAAGGTAGGCCTCGGGAACACTCTCTTTCCCTTCATTTTCTATGTTTGTGGAAGATCTTAGGGTTTTAAACTTGTTTTGCTAGGGTTTGGTGACTGAAAAGACAAAATGAAGTTTTTCCAATTTTTTGGAATTTGAACCGTGGCTATCCGACCACTTTTCCGGCGAACTCCGACTATGACACGACCTCACATGGGTTCAGATTTATTCCCTGCATTCCTAACCTTATTTAGGTTTTTGAATCACATATTTTGGTTGAGAAATGAGCTCGTTTAGAGATTTGAAAGTAAGGCCTGCAACCTACAAAAACTGCCGGTTTCGGGAAAAAGGCGCGTGGGAAGCCACAACGTGGTGGCGTGTGCAGCGATGGGAGGAACCCGAGGTCCCTCCTTAGGTTTCTCAACGTGCCGAATTTGAATCCGCCCTTCGTTTTTCGAAATTCGACAATTTTAAAATAGTTCTTTTATTAGCCGTACTTTGTATGAAAAACGCGTTTATACACTAGTACGTCATATATTTATGTTAATGGTTTCGTTTCTAGGTGAAACGCATTGTAAGGATCTTTGAAACCCGCGAGGCTGATTCGACCTGACGACATGATATGTGAGTGGGTCTTTTCTTTGATATATATGTATATTTATTTAGTTTCCATATATACATATAAATGATCTAATAATGAATTTTCTATACAACTGTCGTAATTAAATTAACATTTATAGGAAATGATGTAACGATGAGAATTATGAAATCACTATAAATCTTACGGGATGCCTTAATTAAGTTTACGGCTATGAATAATATTATGTTGGCTAGAATTATCGAATCACTATGGCATGACTACATTTATGTTATCTACTCATCGTTTGCTGCACCAGTGTTAGTACTTACCCGGGCCAGGGTCAGTCTTTCACATGTATGTGCACATCGCATCGTATGCTCACTTTGGATCCATTGTAGGTGACAGTCATTTCCTAGATTGCTATAGGTAATTAGGACTCGTATGTGATACGCATAGCGCCAGTCTTCACGTGATTGTAATACTAGAGCGTATATCATTGTTACACCCAGTCCTGTTCATGTTAGAATATCTCTGCATGAACTCGTGTGTCAGTATATGTCGATGAGCACTAGACATGATATGTTTATTTATGCGAGAATATGTGATTACGGATGTCAGGTGTTTATTTACGAAAGTTTGTGACATATTACATTTCTTGAGATACTGCTGGCTCTGGTAAGTATTTTCATACTATACGTAGTATGTATATTTTAGAAATTATACTTATTTTACTGCGAGGGATTATAATGTTGTCAATAAAGTTTTTATAAAACTTTATTTTAGGCCTACTCACCCTTGTTTTTCGCCCCTTTAGGTTTTAGTGGCTGAGCTTTTGTGTCGACGAGGATTTCTGGTAAACTGTCGTCGTGGGAATACTACCAACAGTATAATTCCTCTTTTACCTTTACTATACTTTACTTATACGAAATGGGTTCATTCATGCTCACATGCACACTCTTATATTTAGACATTTTTAAGTTTAAATTTATTCATATTTTCCATATCACTACACTTTATAGCTTCGTCACCCTCCTGGTGTCGACCAGCACAGCTCGATTCGGGACCAAGTGGGCATCCCAGGTTGGAGTATGTCATATATATATATATGAGGAATAAAATAAAATGAATAGAGAATGGTACATAGTTATTTTCTAACTAGCTCAAAGCCTTACACCTATGTGGCATGCTTCATTGTCCTATGCATAATTGTTATAAATATTTTATATATTATTTCTAAAACAAAAATTGGTACATATGGCTAATTAGCAAAGATTTTATTGATCTTTGACTAAATTATAAAAAGTGACATTGTTCATTAATTCCACGTCCAATCTCATTAAACGACTATATTGTTACCTATTGTTATTCATTAGGTGGTGCTATTTATACATTATTTTTTACTTTCTATTCTCTTATTAACTTTTATTTATTGATCTTTATTAATTCATTTAATTTGATAGATAAAAATTAAAAAAAAATGTTTGAAAGATAAAAATAATTGGACAGCTAGCACTGACCTACTCATTATTATAGTACGTAAATTGCAGAACTATATTTGACACATGTTACAGTGTGATTGTCAGATTGCAGAACTGTATTTGATACATCAATATTATGTAACAGTATGAGTGTCAGTCTGTCTTATTCAAGAATC